AAAAAAATTGTTTAAAAAAGTAACGTAGCCTTTTCATAATAGTAATTTGTAATAATTTCATGCTCTAATTAGAAGTCTAGTTAAAAAAAAGATTTTACACTTTTTTATTTGTAAAAATAGGAAAAAATAAATAAGTAAAATGCACTTGCGATTTAAATAAAATAAGCCCAGAAGTAATTTAATTTTAATTTAAGCGTTACAATAAGTGCTTCAAGTAACAAATTTAAAAATTACTATAAACGACTTAAACTCATTCCTATCGTAATTAAATACAGAAATTTTTTTTTTTTAAATAAAACCTTAAGATATATGTAAAATAAAATGTAAGATTTTAAAAAACGTAAGTTTAATTATAAAAATTAATCCTATGAACATTACAAAATGCTTCAAAACTTTTCCATTAATTAACAAGATATAAGTAAATTAAGTTATTTTATATTCTTGTATAACTCACATAAAATGTGTTAAAGCTAGTAATCATAAAAGGTTTTAAACTTATTCAAATTATTATTTCTTAAAATAATGGTTTAAAAGATTTTAGGAAGACATGAAAAAATAGTTTCAAACATTTAAATTTATCATTAAAAATGTCTCCATAAACATGCCTATATAAAAAAAAAATTTACATATAACATTTTTTATTAATTTACACATTACAATTATAATTACACAATCATTTTAATTAATTTTTATGGTTTTAGTTAAAGCCTTAACTAAAACCATAAAAATTAATTAAAATGATTGTGTAATTATAATTATAATGTGTAAATTAATAAAAAATGACATAAAAACGGCATAAAAACTTTAGAAAAGATAAACAATTAAATGTTATTCATAACGTAACTTTTTTTTTACTGCTTTTAAATTATTAAAACATCAAAATAGCTGTGGTCAAGTTTAAAAAAAATAAAATAATTAGTGTGGTCAGTTACAGAGTGCGATTGCACGCCATTCCTGTCCAAGCCTGTAGGTTTAAACCAAAAAAAATGTCCCACGGTCATGTGGTTTTTTGGATCCATACTGGCCTCTACTTTCAGAGAATAACACCATTGAAAAAAAATTTAGTCCAAAAAAAAAAGAAGATATTTTTGTAAACCAAAAAAGCCTGTATTTTTTCTTGTATATCCATTAAGTATTTTATTTGATCATGAATTGTTCCATGACTATTTTAAAAGCTTTAAAATATTTACAATAGAGAGGCAAACATTTTAAAATAGGTTTTTATGTGTCAAATTTATTAAGAACAAATATATGATGTTTTATATTATTGTTTATAGGAAAGAGAATTAATGTTGGTTTTTCTTCAACATTTATTTTTATATATGTATTAAACTATTAATAGTTCTCTTTCCTATAAACAATAATACAAAACATCATATATTTTTGTATGAGCTTGCGCATGATACAAGGTACCTGTGCTAGTTGGGACACACTGAGCCGTAATAGCCCAAGAAAAGTGAGGCAGAATTGATTATATAGATTGAGTGTTAGTGTCAATATAACAAAAGTTGAATAGATGTCCAGCGAGAAAGTGAAGACTATACAGAGAAGGAATAGAAGGTGGGGAAAGGGGGAGGAAGGAATTTTACCTGTATCATTTGATATTTTTTGTGACGTTTTACTTATAGTTGTCTTGAGTTAGTTAAGTCTCTATTGTCCTTTTAATTTTTAAAAAAATTGAAAGTGACAATAGAGAATTTTTGTTTTCTTGAAATAGCCTGGAATAAGTCTATAATTTTAATACTTAGAAATTTCTATATCTTGCCTTAGAGGTTTAGCATTTCTAAATTAGTATATCTTTCCTGGATCAAGAAAAACTTGCAATTACATTGGAAATCAACAAGATTTAGGTCACGTGATTTAGTGATGTCATTCTATAGTGGCTGTTGTTACTACAGGTTTCAGAGCATGCAACGACTGGGGGTTTTAATTGTGTAGAATTTTAATTCTTAATATACTCGATATCTTTCCTTAAAGGTATTTTAACTGAAATATTTATTATTTCTAAAAGTGTAAGTCTTGCCTTGATAAAAAACATTTTCGGCAGTTAAACTGGTAATCAATAATAATTATGTCACGTGATTTAGTGATGTCATTCTATAATGACTGTTTTTGCTACAGGTTTCAGAACATGCAGCGACTGGATTAATGTTGGTTTTTCTTCAACATTTATTTTTATATATGTATTAAACTATTAATAGTTTAATACATATATCAAAAAATAAACGTTTTATATTATACTATAATGTTATAATATAGTATATAAAATATTATATTAAATGAGTTATACTATATTATATATTATTTATTATACTATTATATTATAACATTATATTATATATTGTATTAAATGTATTATATTATATTATTATATTATAATATATCACAAAATAGTTTTCTGTAACGTTATTCTAACTTGCTTGTGCATAATTATTCTCTGAGGGAGTAGTTTAGCAATCGTTATAAAGAGTTTTTCATATAGGTCTCCAAAGGGAATTGCTTGTGTTGCAATTTTAATCATTATTCTAAACGAGTGTTAGAAATAAATGTCCAGAGCGAATTAATTCTGTAACAATCTTTACAATAAACTTAAAGAAATCTATCAAAATCAATAAAAAGAAATCTATGCAAATAAAAGTTAACCATTAAACTCTATATTTTCTTTCATATATTCGGCAAAGACTACATTTTGTACGACCAGTACTTCAATGATGCCTAATCAGACATTAAACCACAAAGATAACCGAAAAAAAGTCTGCATTGTGTGCTTTGAGTAAGATGAAACGATTAGAGAAATAACTGGCCCATCCTATAGAAGACTTCCTTTGTAATAAAATAATGTTCCTTAGCCAAGTCTTATTGCAATATTTCAATTGGCAGGGATCATCTTGAGGCAGCTCTGTCTAGAGGTATGTCTGTATGTATATATGTGCAATAATAAAAGTGGATGCAGGTGATTCAATAAAGCTTGCTAACAAAGGGCCTAAAATTATTATTATCAAAATTCCAAAGAAAACCGAGTTGAAAGCCCTTTCTCCTGAAAACAAGGTGCCAGCTAGTAAAATCTCAAGATTCGAAAATATACTAGGGTTAAGTCATTCCCAAACAGAAACTGATTGTAGTGTTCTTATAAGCTGAAAAGGAAAAGAGTTTTTTGAAACCAATCTAAAAGAAAAACTTGTGTTTCAAGACTGTGTTTTAGGTCGTTTCTTTAATGTTGCACAACTTCAAATCAATAAGCAAACAAAATATTTAGTCTACTGTAGAAATGTATCTGAACTAATTAATCAGCTAATGAAAAAAAAAAGATATATCACCAGATTATATTGTAAAGATTGGAATAGATGGGGGAGGAGGATTTCTAAAGGTTTGTTTAAATATTATTGATTGTAAAGTGAATGAACCTAAAACCAAGTTCTATTTATTAGGCCAATTTATTAGGCCAAGGTTGCACAGCGGCAAGTTTAAGGTAGGACAGTGTTCAAAGCTATTGGATAACATAGAAACATTAGACAATATTCTCAAATCCAATTTCGAAATTGTACCAGATGAATTGATAAGACTTATGAGTGCAATGAAAGCACTAAATAATGTGAAGAAAACTTGCTTTGGTCTAAGTTTGGACATGTCTTAAAAAAATCACATCAATTCCTACAAGGAAGCATATATGGCATCACCAAAAGTACATGCTCTAGTCATCAAAGTACCAGCTTTTTTGGAATCAATGGCTGACAAATACCCTGGAAAAGGTCTTGGTTTTTGGTCAGAACAGGCTTCTGAATCTGTTCATTATGACTTCAAACAGTTTTATGAGCAAGGATACAAAGTTCTAAGTTGTCACAAATTGTACCAATCAAAACTGCTGAGATCGGTTATTGTTTATAATAGTAGACAAACACATTTTAAGATTTAATTTTAAAGGAGACTTTAATGTTTTTAGAAGACTTATACATATTTTTAATCTTATATTTGTAATTCATATGTATTTAAATCAAAGTCCTCATATGGTTTCATTTGTCATTGGAAATAATTAAATAGCTTTATATAATACAAATATTCCATCATTTTTAATTCTCCTTATAAAGTTAAACTGTACCAATACATCAGGAAACTGTACCAATACGGATCCATCACGGAAAAATCACATGACCCTGTGACATTTTTTTAGGATTGAACCTACTTTTACCATACACCCCCTTAACTCTAAGATAGATATTTTATATTAACTGGTGATCTAGAATAAAATAGAAATTTTTGTATATAAAAGGTATATTAGTTTAAAGAAAAAAAATTAGAAAAAAATATGTATTTTTAGATGGTAAAGATCAAAGGTTAAGTGCCCCCTCTAGTCCTCTTGATAGATTCAACAGTTAGAGAACAATATATATTTGGGTAAGCGAAAGATACTATGACTCAAAATGAGGTTTTTATTTTTCAAAAAAAAAAGACAAGATATATTACTGATTTGGGGAGAAATGTAAGAGAATGCTGCTACATTGAATAATATATGGATAACATGCAAGGGAATGCTGTTACATCAACTGAGTGTTTGGGTTGGAGCAGGTATAGATTATTCAATGTAGCAGCACTCTTGGAGGGTGTAAAAGATAGATGTAAGATTGGGCTACAGATATATGTTAAGCAAAAGATACTATGACTCAACATGAGGTTTTGATTTTTCAAAAAAAACGAAGACCAGATATATTACTGATTAGGGTAGAAATGTAGGAGAGTCTCTCCTACATTTCTACCCATCTATATATGTTAAGCAAAGCTACATTTCTACCCAAATATATGTTAAGCAAAAGATACTTCCTTTTGCTTAACATATATTTGTAGCCCAATCTTACATCTATCTTTTGATACCAATTTATAGATATTTACATAAAAATCAAAAAAGTCAAAACAATTCAAATAATTCAAAAAAAAAATAATTTTTGACAACAGCTTCTTCAACAAATCTGTATCAAAAATTGGTTACCATTATATAAACTTCATACCTCTTTTATTTTTAACTTCTTTTATGATTTATTATTCATAGTATTTGCATTTTAATATGATAAAAATTGTTCAGTATATTATTTGGGTTATAAAAAACAAATTCCTTACAAATTTAAATATTTATAAACGAATTTAAATATTTTTAAAAATATTTTTAATATTTTTTGAATTTAAATATTAAATTTTCATATATTTTAAGAGTTTTTTTAAATTTAAATATTAAATTTTTTCAACTTCAATATTTATTAAATATAAATATTATTTTAAATGTTTCAAAAATATTTAAGTTTGTTTTATAAATATTTTTTAAAAAACATTTAAAAGGCTTTAGCACGTTGTTAAGCGAATTCAAATGTTTTTATTTTGTCCGGACCTTGTAGGGAAGGTTACAGGGATTTAAGTTAATGGTAAGTACATGATTCCATAGCGTAAAGTTAGGTCCCGTAAAATGTTCCGCAATTGTCCCGCTTCACGTCCAACATAATTAATTTTATTGTTATTATTTTTATTATTATTACTGTTATTATAAAATAAATGTTGCTCCTATTGCTTTTATTTGTTCTTGTTGTTTGCATAAAGTTTCTTATCATAGTAGAAGCACTAAGATTAAAAAATAAAGATAAAACTCAAGAATGTGCTTGTTATAACTTTACTAGACAATTCATGCATGTTACACTCAAAATTTTGGTTTTAGAAATAATTCCTTAGCCATCCTCACAAAATGACTAATAAACAAACCAACTACAGTAAACATGTTATGATTTAGTTTTCTTTATTATTAAAATATCTTAACAATCAAGGTTCACTTTGATATTATGATCACAAATAATATTCTAATATCATGATTAAATTGTATAAAAACATTTGTATTATAGTATAAAATCATGTTTCACAAATTTTGTATTGAGTTACTATTTGATAAAAACATTTTACCACGCATGACCAATAATTAATTATTCTCATAAAACCATTGCATAAAACAAATAATTTTTTGCATCTTAAATACTTAATTATTCGCCTAAAATTAAACATTACGTCACCTAACTTTACGCTATGGAATCATGTTTCTACCTAAGTTAATATGCTAGGAAGATCCAATTTAGCGCGCTTATTCAGCCTCCCGAGGCTTAAGGTGGATAACCACAAAAAAAAACAAATTTCAGAACTGTAACAAAACTTTAAAAACCTCCATTTGTTTCAAATAGGTACATATATTTCTTGCAAAGTAAATATCGCTAATTATGCAGATCTTTCATAAAAAAAACAGAAAAATGTCAAAATTACGTAAAAATGAAGCATTTAACACCTACACAATTGCAACACTATTTTTTAAGCTGTAGTAATGTTTAAGCTTTGAAACTTAGCAATTGTCTGTCAACCCATGAAATAAAGGGAATGAATTAAATTCTCAAAAAACAAACACTATTTAGCTTTTTTATTTAACATTTTTTGCTTTTTGCAATATTTTCAAGGGGTAGAGCAATGTCAAAACACTAAAAAAGCAAAAAAATCAATGCATTTTTTAAAAATTTTTACATTCATTCCCTTCATTTACGTATTTTGAATAATTCCTAAAAATTTGAAGTAAATTGCTTAACCCAATATTAAGATATCACATGTCAAACTAAGTATCGTTAAAATGCAATTTTGAGAAAATAAAAATAATAAAATACAAAAGCATAAAAAATTTAAAATCCACCAGATAAATAAGCTTTTTGTGATGAAGTTTCTTTTATATTATTATTCGAACATTTTTTTAATGCTTTTAACTTTTCTCTTTCTTTTTTTTTACTTTGACATCATCTTTTTTAAGCATGTTTTTTAAACGCTTTGTATCTTTTAACTGAAATGCCAATGAGTTTTTAAAGTGAAATTTTAAAAACTCTGTTAAGACCGTAAGTACCATCGTTGAAATAAATTAAAGCAGAATTAACACCTACTTCAAGCAAAATTCTTGTAATAAAAATATTTTTTGGACATCGAGACCATATTATGTAGTATGCGGTAGTGGTGTAGTGGTAGAGCGCTCGCTTCATAAACGAGTGGTTCCGAGTTCGATCCCCACCACGTCCCTGGTAGTACCGCGCTCAACTCGTTTCTCCGCGCAGCGGCCTTGCTCGTCAAGGTTCGTGTTTCGGAGTTATAGAGTTGAGAGAGGGTTATAACCATAATTAAGTAGCCTCCTCGTCTGTAGTGGCCTTCTCGGCCTTGAGGAGGTGAATTAAAATAAAAAAAAAAAAAAATATTATGTAGTTAAGTCTTTCGTTACAATTTTGTGTCTCTCCATGAATGCATTTTTTAAGAAGAGAATCACCAGATAAATCATCAAAATTTTTCTTAATAACATCATAAATTTCATCATCAAAACACCAAGAACTATCGTCGTGAAACTATTGAACTACCAAGATAAAAATAAAATCTTAAGTTCACTTAAAAATCTAAAAGGAAGTGGAATATATATAAATGAAGATTTTGCTAAAGAGACAATGGAAGAGCGAAAGAGACTTTGGGAAGAAGTTAAAAATCTTCGCAATCAAGGTAAATACGCAACGATTAAATTTAATAAAATTTATTGTCGCGAATTTAGAAAATAAGAAAATAAGTTTTGCGTAAGTTAAAGCGATCGAAGCAAAGTTAATTCTTTTTACTTATGGCTAAACAAACAAAAGATTTCGAAACGCAACACTTTAATGTTTTTAAATCAGCCAATAACGCTTTACTTGATAACTTTTACGACCCAGATTTGCATTTTTTTAATGAAAATAATTTTAACTCGCGGTTTTTTGATTTAAAAACTTTTAAAAATGAATTAAAATCATTAAATAATAACTTTACGGTTATACACATAAACATAAGAAGTATAATTAACAATATTGACAAGCTAAAACATTTTCTTGTAGAATGTAATTTTTTGTTCAGTATGATTTGCTTAACAGAAACCTGGTGTTCTGACGAATCATCCAGAATAAATTCAAACTTATTAATTCCGAACTACAAACTAATATCTTACGAGCGAAAAGTTCAAAAACGAGGTGGTGGAATTATGACATATATTCATAATGATCTGACAACTAAAGTTAGAGACGATCTTTCTGTTTCTGATGCCGATGGTGAGGTCTTTACAATTGAAATAATAAACCAAAAGTTAAAAAATATACTGGTGCCCACCTGTTACAGACCACCTCAAGGTGATATAAAAAAATTTTCTAATCATCTAAAACAAATATTTCTAAAAAACAATAAAGAGCACAAAATATTATTCTGTATTGGAGACATTAACATAAACTGTTTACAGTACAATGAAGATGCTGTTACCAAAATTTTTTTTGATGATATGTTTCAACACTACATCTTCCCTATAATAAACAAACCCACCCGGGTAACATCAACTTCAATCACTGCAATAGATAACATATTGACTAATTCATTTTATGATTCTTCATTAAAAGCAGGTGTAATCAAAACGGATATATCCGATCACTTTCCGATATACTTTTCTTTGTTTCAAGATACAAAAACAAACAACTCAAAAACCAAAGTCTATAAACGAAAAATTAATAAATTTACTATTCAACAGTTTAAAGACTCACTATCGGCAGTGAGATGGGATAAGATTTACCAAAAATGCAACCTTGGGCACACCAACTCTGCTTATAATGAGTTTTTAGAAATATTCTTAAAGCATTATAATAATCACTTCCCAATTATAGAACAACAATTAAAAGTAAAATACTTACAATGTCCATGGATTACTAGAGGTATAAAAAAATCTTCAAAAAAAAAGCAAAAACTTTACATCAAATATTTAAAAAATAGAAATGAAAAAAACCTAAATACCTACAAGCAATACAAAAATTTATTTGAAAAAATTAAAAAAAATTCAAAAAAAAACTACTACTCGAAGCAAATAAAAAATGCAACTGGTGACATTAAAAAAACATGGAACATTATAAAAGAAATAATTGGGAAAAAAAAAACTAAATCAAATAATTTGCCTGCTCGAATTATCATAGACAATATAGAGTACAGTGACAAAAATAAAATTGCTGAAAAATTCAATGAATTTTTTGTTAACATTGGCCCTAATCTTGCCTCAAAAATTGAATATCCTAATAACTCGTTTGAATCATATCTAAATGATCCTCAGAGCGAACTAAAATACAAAGAACTAAGCTATCAAGAGCTTAACGTTGCACTAAACTCCTTAAAATTAAATAAAACTCCAGGAATAGACGATATCTGTAGTAGGATAGTGGCAAATGTCTTTACAGTGATAAATAAACCTATATTTGAAATCTTCAAGTCTTCGATTAAAACAGTAGTTGTACCAGACAAGTTAAAAGTAGCTAAAGTAGTACCAATATTTAAAACAGGTGAATCATACTTAATTAATAACTATAGACCTATCTCGGTACTCCCTACCTTCTCTAAGCTTCTCGAACGAGTAATCTACAACAGATTGTACGAGTATTTAATCCAAAATAAAATCCTAAATAAAAAACAATTTGGCTTCCAAAAACAATATTCGACTGAACACGTAATCCTAGATCTAATTAATAGTATAAGTGATTCTTTTGATAAAAAACAATATGTTCTGGGGATCTTTATAGACCTGTCAAAAGCCTTTGACACAGTAAATCATAATATCTTACTTAAAAAAATGGAAAGCTATGGAGTAAAAAACATCACTCTTGACTGGTTCAAAATCTACCTAAGCAATAGGCAACAATGTGTTATTTCAGACAATTATAAACACTCAAAACTACTAAGAATAGAGTGCGGTGTCCCCCAAGGTTCCATTCTTGGACCCCTTCTGTTTCTTCTATATATTAACGACCTTACAAAAACCTCGAAAAAACTTGATGTTATAATGTTTGCCGACGACACAAATTTATTTTATTCCTCGAACTCAATCAAAAACCTTTATGAATGTATGAACAAAGAGCTTGAAAAATTAAACATCTGGTTGAAATTAAATAAGTTATCACTAAATACAGAAAAAACAAAATATATATTGTTTCATTCC